ACAACTGATCTCAATGTTATTTCCTTCCAAATGATAAAGAAACTACCCACTTAGCTTAAAGGTGTTCAACCTGTTGAATCTGAAACCTTTTATGCACATTTTTATCTATGAACTTTGAAAATACTATTTTTTTGGAATTTTGGCGATTTTTTCACCAGGGTCCCCCCTTAAATTAGCAAACGATAGGCTCTCCGATGGTTGCGAACCGGAACCCCAAGCAGTAGAAATGGATCCACGACACTTCACCCAAAGTCTTTCTCCCACCGCGGAAATGCCCACTTCAATTTAATCCACCAATTTTAGGCGCAATTTCTTTAATCCAAAAAAGGAAACCCAACTACCAGTTGGCCCACCTTGGTACCCATAAACCCACTAAAGGGTAAGGTTACCAAACATGGATCACATTTTAGAAATGTTCTGTATTTCAGCTCAAACAAGCGATGACCTAAATTTTCTTCGTTTAACTCCGAGATTACCACAAAGACAACCTCTTCTCAAGAACTGAACAATGAATGACAAATACTTTGAAATTTACAGGGCTTTGAATTTTCACTGATTTAAGTGATCCATATTTGGGTCTGACCCAAAGATGGATCCCCCCTCGCGTTTTGACAGGGGTGGTCCGATAACTTCCGGTCCTCTAAATTATGAAACGGTACACTCTGAAGGTGCCTCGAAAAAATTTTGAGGCATTTCTGATGAATGGATTCTTTGTAATAACACTTCGAATTTTGACTCCTAACCTTACCTGAAAACAGGCCGTTTTCGGACCCCTTTCCAGAGGCACTTTTTTATTTGTGTATTGTAAGTGTAACGGTTCGATTGATCAGCTCCCCCGCGCGTGATTCTAGCAGTCAAAAGTGCCAACTAAATGAAAAATTTTGAAAAAATGAAATTGGTCGATTGGTTTGGCGGTACGAGCTCGCTAACAAAAATGATCCATGATTGTTACCCCGATCCATGTTCGGCACTTTACCCTAGTGTGAGGTTATTCCTGCAGGCCCGCAGAAAGTCCATGGTCCACTCTTCAGCCTTCATCTCCTCGTAGCGCCCCGAGATCCGCTGGAGCCGCTCCGTCACCATCCGGTACTTCAGCCGCTGCTGCGCCTTCACCACCTAAGGCGCTGTCTGTTAGTTTCGAATCAAAGTTTTCAATGTTCTCCGAGAAGATTAGTTGTCTGTACCTTTCCCAGTTCCAGCTCAGCCATTGACCTCTCACAATTTCTCTGCTCCTTCTGGACCGAGGGGGTATGCGCTCTCTGAACCTGTGTACCGACTATTACGCTATTACGCTCTATCCCGGTTGACAAAACTCGTGACTAAGGACGTCCCAAGAATGTCCCCCCAGGAACAAGGAATGTTCCTCTAGGTACTACGCAGGGAGCTCCCCAATGGCAACGGGGCTTGTTCCAGGAACGTACCTGGTCATAATCCCTACGACCATCCTAGGTAGTTCCCGCAGAAACATCCCCCGAGGGATGTCCTGGGAACGTGAAGGCGCGGCATGCACAAGATGTACTTTTTTCGTACCCGGACGCATGTCCCTGTGGGAACGTTCCTTTTGGCACAGCCTGAGGACGTGACGGCAAGGCATGCGGCCGTGACTGCTGCGTGCCCTCCGTTTGAGCGGTAACACGACACAGCGAAAGAATACCATGGGCCAAGGTCGTCACCTTTCACAGTTTACGGATCGTGGATTCGAATTGCAGTCGATTGGCAATATCAGATTTTAGATAGGACGTATAGTTTAAATGTTTTAACTGTTTTGAGAAATGACGTTGGAGACTTCGACGCACGGGTAATCGTCAAGCGACCACTGGAAGGTCCATCATACGTGCACGTGGACACGTGCTGGACATGTCTCTGAAAGGACGTGACCTGTACAATCCATCTGGAACGAGTACCGAACGCACATGCCTAACACGTGACTGTGGTCACGGGCAATGTACATAACACAAAGGACGTGAGGGGATAGTACAGCGGTTCCCAACCTTGGGGTCGCGACCCCAAATGGGGTCGCGAAAAAATTTCGAAGGGTCGCGGCGAGGTGGTTGGGGTCGCCTGGGGTCGCGGCTGTTTCCCGGATGGCAGAATTGTTCAAAACGGTCGAAAATGCCTTTGAAAACTCGTGTTTTAGGCCGACTTTGAGCAGCAACTGCGTCTGATCCGAGGCGGTATTTCGTCCTCCCTCAGCGGGCATTTGGTCTTTGGACCTTCCTTTAGCATGCCTTTGTTACGGAGTGCGATTATCGGCCTTAGTTTGGGAGCAGTATAGTCTCAAAGTTGATGAAAACAGTATAAAATGCTTTTGAATGCCATTTTGATCCACTTTGAGACAATACTGCTCCCAAACTAAGGCCGATAATCGCACTCCGTAACAAAGGCATGTTAAAAGGGAAAGGGCCAAAGACCAAATGCCCGTTGAGGGAGGACGAAAAACCCCCTCGGATCAGACGCAAAGGCTGCTTAAAGTCGGCCCAAAACACGATTTTTCAAAGACATTTGTGAACGTTTTGATCAACTTTGTGGCAATACTGCTCCCAAACTAAGGCAGATAATCACACTCCGTAACAAAGGCATGCTAAAGGAAGGTCCAAAGACCAAATGCCCGTTGAGGGAGGACGAAATACCTCCTCGGATCAGACGCAGTGGCTGCTTAAAGTCGGCCCAAAACACGATTTTTCAAAGACATTTGTGGCCGTTTTGATCAACTTTGCGGCAATACTGCTCCCAAACTAAGGTGGATTATCGCACTTTGTATCGAAGACATGCTAAAGGAGGGGTCGCGAAATTTTTCCTGGGGGTCGCGGAAATTTTTTGTATCAAATTTGGGGTCGCGAACCGAAAAAGGTTGGGAACCGCTGGGATAGTACCATCTGCAACGCGTTTTACACTATGGCTGGTTGTATCCGCGGGGGCGTGACAATGACGTGACTGTCGGCATGATCCCGGTAGGCACGTGATGGAGACGTCACTACCGGCACCTGCCCCAGGGAACGGCCCGGTTACGCCCAGGCAAAGTTCCCTCAGGTATGATCCCTATGACCTCCCGCCAGAAATGGTTCCTCCCACATCCCCTGAGGACTGCCTCAGGAACTGCTCCATAAGTGGTTCCTTCAGGAATGGGAACTAGTTTTGTCAACCGGGATTACGCCACAAATTAATAGGAATTTAGCTAGAAACGGCCTAAAACACACCAAAATTGATAACATTTTGACAATTCCGGCTATTACGCGACTATTACGCGCATTATTACGCGTGCTATTACAGATAGAGTGAACCGACTATTACGCGAGTGCATACCGCCTCGTTCTGGACCTCCTTGATCAGGGCGTAGATGGATGGATGGTTCTTGCCGACCAGAGTGTTGAACCGACGGTGCCAGCCCTCCGAAAGGAAGTTTGTTCTCGGTTCTCCCTCCAAAGCAGCATCGTGTAGGAAAGCTGAAAGAAGTCAAGCTATACACATCCCAGTGGATCCCAATATTCCACCCAAAGCTCAACCCTTGCGACGAGTGGCGGTACACCGTCTAAAACATATGCAGAAACTTCTGTTTGACTCGCTTGATATAGAGAGGATGAATTGCCGAACGCCCAGGGTATCTCCAGCACATATTGTTCCATAAGGGGCAAATGGTTGGAGGTTATGCGTGGATGAGAGAAGCAAATCTGTGTGCTAAGAGAAAGGTATCCGGGCAAGACTTTACATGAGCTTCTCCTAACCATTGGACCACATTCCAGAAGATATCCAAGACAGACTTCAGGTTGGCGTTTTATCAAATCGAATTGGATGAGGAGTCACCTTAAAACAACAGGAAGTGGCGATATACACTCTGTCAATGTCATACCCCACACCATAGCCATGTTTCTTTGCATTGTCGAGTTGTTCGGTGAGAAAGTCTCAAATTTCTTTCTGATACTATCGGTAAGTTAAGGTTTGTCATGTCTCTGTGTATTAGTAGGTTGTCTTCAAACTAACTAAAATCGTTTCCTTCCTCTTTCCAGGCAGAAGAATCAAGAGGAGAGATTCTCAGACTTTCCAGCGACATATCCCATTGTCCTCTTCTTATTGAGTGCATCAGTTGCCTGCAGAGCCCAATGTACTTTAAGATCCCTGAAACTTGTTTTATTATCTAAAATATTTTTCTTTTCCTCAGGTTCCTCTATCTTTGCTCCGGATAGTAGATTATCTGTGGCAGTCCGAGGCCTTTTTCCAATTAGATGCCACGATGTTGTTTGTTCAGGGAATCCTAGTCATGCTCTCGGGCTACTTCATTTTTAATATTTCACACCCGAAGGTCCTGTGCCGGACCTTAGAGTTCCTCCAGAGGTTAGTTTTAACACCTGATTGGTACCTATTGGTCCATAGATGTTCCCCCATTCTGTTTTTTCCTCAATCAGATCCATGCTTCTTGTCAACCCTGAAACGAAGCCCACCCGTAGACATGGAAAAATCCACATGATCAATACCAGTGTTGCCTCATTTTCGGGAATGCTGGCTGACTTCGAAGCGAGTCAGTCTGCCGCAGGCAGGCCAGCGTAGGTATAAACGCCAGGCGTGGATTGTCGGAACTGGCGCAGCATCGCGAAGCCTGTTACAAGCCACTGACTGGCGTACACCTACCTAGTTAAACAGGGAGAACAGTTGAAACCAAAGACTGAAAGAAAAGTGATACCAAAAAGGACAGGAGAACAGTTGAAACCAAAGACTGAAGGAAAAGTGATACCAAAAAGGACAAAGATAGAGTTGGTGAAGATAAGGATGCTGACAACCACGACCCGGAGCCGAGGGGTGCCTCACTGCTCAAAAAAGAGTACAACTGAATGAAGAATGTGTGGAATGTGCTGATTGTGAGTGATTGTCTGGAATGTGAGAGATTGTCACGAGAGTGTGTAAAATATGAGGGATTTTTACAAGAATGTGCAGATTGTAAAAGAATTAGGAAAGTCAGAGAATGTGTGCGAATGTGTTTGAATGGGCGTGAATGTGTAAGTCATGCACGTTTGACAGTAGAGCGAGAATGTTAGTCAATGTGACCGAATGTGTGAGAATGTTCGGCGTTGTGAAAGAATGTGAAGGAATGTGAAAGAGTTTTGAAGGAATGTGTGAGATTGTGTGTGAGCAAGTACTGGTACTGTGTTCAAAATGAGCCAGAATGTAAAGTGATTGTACAAGAATGTTGGGAGAACGTGTGTGAATGTGACCGAATGTGTAAGAATGTAAGGGATTGTAGACGAATGTCGTGATTGTGTGAGAATGTGAGGAATGTGCATCAGTGTTATGAGAATGTGTGAGAGATTTTCGGGAGTTGGGTCTCCAGTTGTACAACGAATGTGGCAGTGGGTCCCCCCTCACCTGGAGCCGTAAAAAGGCAAGGTTGGAAAGACAAATAATGGTGCATGACGAAGAGTCACGTTCTAAAACGACTTGTCGTGTTATTCCGAGAAACAGCATGACATGTGAGTCTTCCCGTTTGCTGTCGGGAAATAACCATTTCTTGGAGTTCCCCCTAAGAAGGCGTGCAGTTATTACGTCACGGAGTTGGGGAAAGGGGGGGGGGTCGCATCTCATGACCGTCCTTTCTTTAATGCGTAGGAAGGTTAGGTTAAACCGATGAGAAGATAAACGGGGAGCCCTCAAGTGACGCATTCTTTGCACGCCGCCTGAGGGAAAATCCACAGTGGGACACATTTCAACGACGGGCATCTTGTGATCTACTGGTTTCCGTTGGGTTGTTTGTCATTCGTTTCACGTGAGGTGTCATCAACCAGCGTTACTCCGTGGAAGCATGACACCTCGGATAATATTAATGACTTGAGAGAGATAGTCTCGAGCCACGAAAACATGCTCAATTTCCCGAGCCACGAAAACTATTTCGTGGTCAGTGTGGCGCTACTGCTGTCTGCACTGTAAGGGGAAGTCGTATTTTTACAACTTTATTTTACATGAATACCATCGTAATTTTACAACATAAACTCGTAATTTTACGAACGTATTCGTTATTGGCTAAATTAAAGAGAAATTTCAAAATTTTACACAGATTTTTACGGTTAACCTTGAAAAATTACGAACTTTAGCTGTAATTTTACGAAAATGTCGTCATTTCACGAACAAAAGTTGTCATATTAAAGCATTATCGTAATTTTACAAGTTCAATTGTAAATTAACGAGTAATTCCCTGTTAATTCTATAGGACAAATTGTTCGTAAAATTACAAAAGTTTGTTAAATTACAAAGAAAAATCGTAATTTAACTAGGAAAAATCGTAAATTTACAAAGAAAGTCGTAAAATTTTCAAGGTACATTATTAGTACTATTTTCACATTTTTTCGTCGAGGCAAACCAAGACAAACCTGAAAATGATATGGTTGAAGATTTGAATTATCACGTCTGTACTCATTAACTTACGAACAATTTGTCCTACAGAATTAACAGGGAATTACTCGTTATTTTACAACAAAATCCCTAACAGTGTGGGGTGCACCTGTTACCTGGTGTGCAAAGACACTTCAAAAGAGGACAGCCTTCGCAGCGGCTTGGTTCAGACACTCTGTGAACTACCTCGCGATGGCCGGTAAGAAACTGAAGCTGGAAGACTTCGGCTGTCTGTATGCGTGGGTGTGTGCGCGTGCGTGCAATCACTTTTCTTGTTTCCTCGAGCTGCCCGGTTGAAACTTTGCAGGGTCATTTGATACAATTTTAGCTTACCACACGTCAAAGATTTACCTTACTTAAGCTTACTATTTAACTTAATTGCGATTCAGGCACCGGAACGACTATGCCTGAACGCCAATTCGAATTTACTTTCCTATTCAAAGGAAGTTCCACATTATTTCGTGTGTTATCGAGGGTGCTGGCGACGAAAATGTATAAATCTATATTACCATCGACCCAGGTTCCAATACCATCGGGGTGCATTTTTATCTTTCAGTCCTGAGTCTAACACTTCGTCCTACTACTCGAGAATGCTGAGCCTGAATTTGATTTCGAGTGTGCCCTTGTGATCGCATACTTGAGGGTAGAAAACGAACGTCTTTGATAAACGGAAACCAGTGAATTGTCTGACTTCCAAATCTACGAATCTATATAAGAAAATTCAGTAAAATTTTCACCTATTCCATCGATTGTCTTTTATTCTGCGAACGCAAATGTATGCCCCGAGGCACACTTTTCTTAATAGTGTGCTGTGCATGGAGGCACACAGTTTCTAACTTGCGCCCAAGACCCATGCAGTCCGGTTAGCGGCACGCTGTTTTCAAGTGTGTGCCTGGCAACTACACTGTTAGAAACAGTGTGCCTTGCAGGCACATACTTAAGAACAGGGATACATTTTGAGGAGTGTGCCATGCACACACATGCGTTTGCAGAGCAGCTGCTGAAATGTAGGATTGTACCGTACCGTCCTCTCTTCATTCCAACTTCTTGGTGCAGGGCCCTAAAGATGGGTCCTAAAGACCGGGTCACTCGAACAAACACTGATCTCCTTCGGATCGCTCAAACAAATACCGATCTCTATTTAGACCAATTCTGTACTCGCTATTTCTTTCTCTCGAGGTTGTGGTAAGTCCAACTCAAAAGTGTAAGATATCGGTTTCAAATTTATTCGATAATGATGATCTTAAACTCATTGGTCGTGTGGAGTGAAAACGTGTTAATCGTCCTGGGACTTCAAAATGCTCTCGTTCAGTGATAAGGAAATGGATATCAGGCTTCGTTCGTGGGCTGTAAACGTCGTTCTAGGTAGCCAAATTCCAAATGTGTCGCAGGCCAATGCGTCGCGGTGGCGTCCTTTCTGTCGCTGTTGATTTCGAGTGCTCGAGAAAGGCCACCGCCGACATCGAACACGTTCCCATCGGAGGTGGACTTCGTCGTGGTGGGGGGCGGCTCCGGTGGCAGTGTGGTGGCCAGTCGCCTGTCAGAAGTCCCCAACTGGCAAGTACGTAAACATTGGGAGCGCTCTCATCCGCGCACCGCTACATTAGAAACACTGTTTTGACGGAGTCTGGAAATTCTGAGTTGGGCGGGTAACGCTGAACGTAGCCAAAAACTGAGTTACAAGCTAATTCTTTGTCGTTGTTTGTACTTTCCTTGCCGAAAAGACGCGCCTAAAGAAGCATCCGTTTATTGCAAAGAGGTAGTCTACGCGAGTCTTGTGTAACAAGGCTTTTTTCTATTATTAGAAAACACGGTGCAGTTGTATTATAAAACAGTTCTCAAGTACGAAGTCGTCTGATTTTCTAGAACATTTCAAGTCACTCACAAGTTTGAAGGTTCTTAGTGAAAATACGGGGCGTTCTGGCAGGTGCTGCTTCTCGAAGCGGGACCGGAGCAAGATGAAACCACCTACGTACCCACACTGTACGGCTACACATTCTCCAAGAAGGAGTACGACTGGCAACTCAAGGTTCAGGACACTCCGAATGACCACACAGGGGCAATTGCCAGGTATTGTAAACCTTTTGTACGAATGGCTGGTGCCAACCCACAGGACGCGTGAAGCGCTGTCCTCCACATGGGCCGGTGCAAGGTGGCAATCCCTTACCAAAAATGGAAGTGAGATTTTAGTGAGTCCGGTCGCACTCTTATCAACCTTTTTTCGCACTGGTTCGGCAGTGCGAAGTTGATAGGAAAAGGTTTCATTTTTCGCATCGATTTCCGCCCTCCACCTGGTGCGACTTTGGTGCGAACTAAGTGCGACCGCCGCCAAAAAAGGACGCCGAGACGGGCCTCGAACCGAGTCTTTTTGATCACTGCCATTGCCCCTTATCCATTACACCACGGCTTCGCTCTGCGAGACAGTGGAGCGGGAAGCCGTGTGTCTCTCCAGCCAGCGAGCCGGTGACTCAGGCTGCCTCTGCGCTGACACACAACGGCAAGGGATGCAGCTATCAAGTGGCTCTAACTTGCCGCTTTCTACACTGGCGGAAAAAATTAAGGGGACACTTTTTCAAAGTGACCTCAAATCTCGAGTTTCAGAGCTAGAAGGCTGCAACTTTGACACAAGTTGCCTTCAATTGTCCTGAAGACGCGTGCAAAGTTGCACTGACGAGGTTGGACCGGGAGGGGATGATTCACCCCCAGCAAATTTGAAGTGCAAAAAAACGCAACTTTAGAAGCGACCAGCCTGGCTCTCGGGGGTCGAAAGAATCGGAAAACGGTACAGAGCGATTGCCCTTGACGTCCTCTACAAAATGCGACCCCCGGGAGACCTCTACGACAAACCCACCCCCTACAACCCCACCCCCCTTCAAAGTCCACATTTCTTGAGGTACAGCCCTGAGATCGGGCTGGCGTCATCCTCTTGGTCACCCTGATCAAGAGGATACCGCGTCTGAGCCTGTGCACCCCGTTGTCACCCTCGGAGAGGCCGAAACACTTCACCCCCTTTCAACCCCCTGCGATTTGAGGAATTTCTGCTTTTCGGATGGGGGTGAAACTCACCAGGGTTTTGGTAGACGTGACCCTGAACAGCGTCGAAAAGGTCCCATGTCGATAGCTGCCCTTGGAACCACGCAAAGACACCCCCAAGTTAGGGGTGCACAACCCCCAAGCGGAGGGGTTGAAAACAGCCGCGCCGCTGGGTGGGCCTTCCAGACAGCCAAAGCCATCGGATACATGCTGTTTAGCCCTTGAATTAAGGTCTCTTCACAATTTTTAGCCTAAAAACTGTGTTTCGACGAAAAAACAACCCCTGTGTTTGCGCCCTTGTAGGGGCTGAATCAGCAGGGCTACGGCCATGCCGACCGCGGCATTGGATGCGCCAAGGCCTCCTTGTCAGACACCTAAAAATTCAGAATTTTCCAATCACGCGTTTCCAGACAGTTAGCGCAAGTTTCGAACTCCTGCTCACCGCTCTGCCGGGAAACGCTCTCAAAAGGTAGGCAACCCATCGGGCTTCGATTTCAGTTCTTCCGCTTTTTTCATGATTCAGCGGGCCGGATTCGATTTGCTGGGTTAGAGATTGATCAAAAACACAAGCTGAACCAATCTGACCAGCTAAAGCATGAAAAAAGCGGAAAAACTGAAATCGAAGCCCGATGGGTTGCCTACCTTTTGAGAGCGTTTCCCGGCAGGGCGGTGAGCAGGAGTTCGAAACTTGCGCTAACTGTCTGGAAACGCGTGATTGGAAAATTCTGAATTTTTAGGTGTCTGACAAGGAGGCCTTGGCGCATCCAATGCCGCGGTCGGCATGGCCGTAGCCCTGCTGATTCAGCCCCTACAAGGGCGCAAACACAGGGGTTGTTTTTCGTCGAAACACAGTTTTTAGGCTAAAAATTGTGAAGAGACCTTAATTCAAGGGCTAAACAGCATGTTCCCGATGGCTTTGGCTGTCTGGAAGGCCCACCCAGCGGCGCGGCTGTTTTCAACCCCTCCGCTTGGGGGTTGTGCACCCCTAACTTGGGGGTGTCTTTGCGTGGTTCCAAGGGCAGCTATCGACATGGGACCTTTTCGACGCTGTTCAGGGTCACGTCTACCAAAACCCTGGTGAGTTTCACCCCCATCCGAAAAGCAGAAATTCCTCAAATCGCAGGGGGTTGAAAGGGGGTGAAGTGTTTCGGCCTCTCCGAGGGTGACAACGGGGTGCACAGGCTCAGACGCGGTATCCTCTTGATCAGGGTGACCAAGAGGATGACGCCAGCCCGATCTCAGGGCTGTACCTCAAGAAATGTGGACTTTGAAGGGGGGTGGGGGTTGTAGGGGGTGGGTTTGTCGTAGAGGTCTCCCGGGGGTCGCATTTTGTAGAGGACGTCAAGGGCAATCGCTCTGTACCGTTTTCCGATTCTTTCGACCCCCGAGAGCCAGGCTGGTCGCTTCTAAAGTTGCGTTTTTTTGCACTTCAAATTTGCTGGGGGTGAATCATCCCCTCCCGGTCCAACCTCGTCAGTGCAACTTTGCACGCGTCTTCAGGACAATTGAAGGCAACTTGTGTCAAAGTTGCAGCCTTCTAGCTCTGAAACTCGAGATTTGAGGTCACTTTGAAAAAGTGTCCCCTTAATTTTTTCCGCCAGTGTATCATTGCCTTGACATCTCGACTATCATTGCCTTGACATCTCGACTCTTGCTGCCTTGACTAGAGGGCTCATGTTCATTTTATTTTAAGTTCACTTGTTTAATATGTAACAAGGTTATTAGCTCCGAAATTCAGACTACAAACGTTTGATCGGGTAATTTTATCTTGAATATGATACTTTCATCAAAGAAGAAATTGGAGGCAATCATTTCAAAGTTTCAACTACTTCGCAAATCTGAAACAACTAGAAAATAATGGGAAAAAACTTGACTGTTCAATTTCGCTTATTTTGAACTGGTATAGGTTAGAGGCGTGCTTCCAACTCAACCAATGCGAAGTGGTGTGAAGAAAGTGCGAATAGTACGAAGTGCGATCTGAGGTGGACCGGATTAGCACTGGACACACCAATTTCGCACAGTTCCACCTTGGTCGTACTTTCGGCACACCTACTGTCGGAAGGAAAGTTCGAAGGACGCACTGGGGCCTACTGAATTAGCACCGTGGCACACCAATGCACACTAATATCCTCCAGGATCCACACTCCTTTCGTACTTTCGTTTTGGTAAGGGATTTCATAGGATAGGTGTGTGTTTCCATGCTGGGCTGTCAATGTTACTGCAACGGTGAAACGCATTACAGTAACGCGTTATTTCGTTGCGTTACCGTTCCTGATGCTCAGTAACGAGGTATCCGTAACGAGTTACAGTTCGAAAGTAACGTTAACAGCCCTGTTTCCACGTCAATTGATCCAGGAAGCGGAAGAAGGGGATACTCCATTTTGACCATTTTCAGGAGGAACAAAAAACTGTTAGCAGGGAAATCTCAAACTAAACAATGGAATGTTAAAGATGATAACAAGTTAAAAACATGTAAGTTAAATTTTGAGATAAACATCAGGAGTGTCAGGTCACTGCGTATAGGATAATTGTGACTTATCACTTTCCGCTAAAATGGAAAACAGAGTCATCTCAACTTATATTTCATAAACGAAGTGGAATTTGGAGACATGTCAAGTAGAACTATAGTCAGCAGAGAGTGTTGGTTCCTCTGGTGCATTTTTTGGACTTAGCTCTTTTTTCCGTTTAAGTTCTTCAAATTAAAGGGGGGTAAGTTGACTTGATTCTTTTTACAATAGAGACATAAAAACACAAGTTGAGTTATCTCCTATCAACAATATGTTGAACGGAGTCACGTTGACTTGGGTTGAGATGTTTCCATTTTCAGCTAAATTGAGAGTGTAAAAGGGGTCAAGTTGAGTTACATCTTTTTTCGAAGTGGATTTTCTCTTCAACTGCTAGGAATTGAGTCAAATATTTTGGTGCAATGATGCAAACCATTCTAAGGCACAACGACATTATAAAAACTCAATTTGGATATAAGTCGAATTATTCCCTTCTTCCGCTTCTTGGATCAATTGTTTCTGAACGTTCATTCTGAACGCCGCATATTGTTGCCGTTGTTCGTCTTGGGAAGGGCGTTACGGCTCATATTGACACTCTTCGTGACATCTGGAGTCAAAGAGCTCTTTACAACCAATCCAGGCACTGTTCAAATGTTTAGTAAACATTTGTGAATTAGAGGAATCATTTAATTATTTTTTTAATGTGAGTGATAGGTGAGAGATTCTAGGCAACATTTTGGATGCTGGCTTAGGGCCGGAAAAATAATTACATTAATCTTTTTCTGTCGTGCAACTGGGTTATAACATACTGGGAATGCAGTATAGAAATTGGACGATGGGGAACACGCTCGAAGCCGTGTTGATGCACTGTAAATGTCTTACGCGGTGATGAAAGGCTGCACCAACATATCGAGGGGTCCTATTCAAAGGATCTTATCTGGGCGTTCCCCCGAAGACAATCTTATCTTAAACGCCGGCAAATTTCACTCATTTTGAACAATCAGAATAAATACGACGGTAAGCGAAACATATTTCTACATGCACTTTTGGTTTCTTTGATCTTCCATCTTTAGATTAACTTGAACAAACTCACAAATTATATTGATATGTAGCTGTACCAAATGATCAAACTATGTGAAATTCGCGTGCGTTTAAGATAAGATTGTCTTAGGGGGAACGCCCAGATAAGATCTTCTGAATAGGACCCCTCGATATTATGGTGGAGATTTTCTCCATGATACCAACGAAATTCGTCAAAAGATCTATAAGGTACAGTGAATTCTCAATGGTATGTTATGAAGTCTGCACCACCGTAATATGGAAATATGGAATATTTTCACCAAAGAATCTTTACAGTACAACATTTAGAGTATGTTCTACAGTATTTTCTCATGCCCAGAACAAGCCATCACCACCAAAGTCCGTTCTAAAAGGAGAAATGATTTCTGTCTACTGGAACCCAACTCCAGATTAAGATCGGAAGCCCATAGGGTACTTTAACGAATCCCTGGACCGGAAGTCAAAGATCAAAAGAACCAAAACGGCAGCTGCGCATGCGCAGACGCTGCCTCAGAGTGGAGGGGGGACGTCAGCGCATGCGCCGAAGCGGTTTTGGTTCTTACTTTTGTTCTTCGGCTTCCGGTCCAGGAATTCGTTATAATACCCTAATCTACGTTGGCGGAACCTTTCTTCTGGTAGGGCCAAGATGCTCGGCGGCTGCAGTTCCCACAACGGCGTCAAGTACATGCGCGGCGAGACAGGCGACTACGACTGCTGGGTGCGGGCCGGCGCCAAGGGCTGGAGCTACAAGGACGTCCTGCCGTTCTTCAAGAAGTCGGAGGACAACCTGGAGCCCGACTTGGCCAGGGACACTGAGTACCATGCCACCGGCGGCCCCCTCAGCATTCAACGATTTCAGTACACTGATAAAAGCACAGAACTTCTCTTGAAAGCATACAAAGTAAGTTTATAGGTGACGTCACCTTAAGCAAAGCACACCCCGAAATTTACGAAGTATTCAGAGCATATGCAACACTGGTAAAACTTAAGCGTTTTACTACCCTCTGTTTTCAAGCGTTATCAGTTCGAATCTGTTTACGCTTGAAACACTGAGAATCCAAACGCTATGAGTATAGCGTCAATTGGCATTGCACTTCATGTGCAATGCCCCATTCCCATGCATTGACGTAGGGCATTTTCGGGATGCATTGCACGTAATGGCTATGGCATTGCACGTATGGTGCAATATCTCAGCTGCGTTGCACCATACGTGCTATACTCATAGCGTTTGGCATCTCAGTGAACCAAGCGTAACAGGCTTATCCGCTAAGATTCCCCCTATCTGAATCAATGGGGGACTTTCCAGTCTATGCTTCATTTCAAGCGTAAAGCCTTTGTGTTTTGTGCTTGACTCAAGCGTAGAGTTACGCTTTAGTTTTACCAGTGAAGGTCCAAACTATTTAGTTTATAATAGGAAGAAATAGATCGTTGAACGAAGTATATTTCCTCTGTAAGCTTATGTATGATCAAAGTACCTTGTTTTCACAAGATGGTCTTCTTCGTTAGGCGTAGTTTGTAAGGTGTTAGGAGTGAATGCCGTACACAATCAAAACACAGTCAAGAGACTGCGTTTAACTGTGTTTCAAGACAGCGTTATAGAGGAAAGTTGAAACCACATAACCAAACCTCGGTGTGTTCGTCGGGTGGACCTAAACCGACGAATTTCTCCGTGCACTTAGGCCGCGGGGCTCAAAGAAGTCGACCTGAACGGGCCCCACGCGACAGGCTTGGACAGAACGCAGACCAACTCCCGGGCAGGGCGACGCAACAGCACCAACTCGGCCTTCTTGTCCAAGGCCAGGGTGGCTCGGCGCAACCTGCACATCCTGACCCGCGCGCTGGTCAAGAGGGTCGCCATCGACCCACGCACCAAGCGCGTCCACGCGGTCGAGTTCACCGACCGGAACGGTGCCGCCAAGGTCGTCAAGGTGAAACGCGAGGTGAGGACCAGGGGAAGGACCAGGAAGTGAACACAAAAGAAACGCTATCCAGAAAGGCCTCACCGCGGAGCTTCTCACTTATAATCTTTTCATTCAACGAGCCGGCTCTGCATGAACCAATGGCGATAATGCTGATGAACTTAAGTTCAAATCAAATTCCCTTTAAGAGCAAACACGAACTGCATTCACGAATATTTTAAGCTAAGTGATGAGCGAAAGTTGTCGATGTGTATCTCCCTTTCCCTTGCTATGTTTTCTCTAGGTCATCTTGAGTGCTGGTACGTTCCTGTCACCTCAGCTGCTCATGGTGTCCGGTGTCGGACCTGTCAAGCAGCTGCGGCAGGCCAAGATACCCTCATCGTGGACGCCCCTGCTGTGGGCCAGAACCTGCAAGTAGGTAACAGGTTAGGGAAGTTCTGCACTGCAAGATCTACTGTGTACTTCATCCTATGATCCTTGATCCTATGATCCTTCATGACATCTATGAGTGAAATTACACATCTGATGATAGAATCACATTAAGCGGCTGGCAAAAGTTTAAAATTGACTAGAAGTGTATTTGAGGGAGCTCACCATCATCTTATCAATGAAATCAACCGCCGTGTGCGTGTTCAAGTATACACATGTGTACATACTTGAGTGTATATACTCCTTGATGTAAATTTTTCTATCGCTCTCCAATAGAAACTTGTTAGCACATCCCCTGTTAAGACCACAGTGGATATAGTAGTGTGCAATCAAAGCGGTGGAGTCAAGAACATTTGCGATATTATCGCGTTGGCTTCAATACATCAGTCCCGCAGGAGAAATACCAAACTGGAACTTCTTGTTTTATTTCAGGACCATTTGAACACTGTCGCGAGTCCAGTTATCAACCTTTCGCGGCCCACGTCTGTACCCACGGCCGATCAGATGACGTCCGACGCGAAGAACTACGCCCAAGTAATCCCCCCCATTGCTAACAATCATAACCACTATTACCCGAGATTCCATTTCACTACTTATAAACCTGTCCACACATGCTTACAGATGCATACGTACACGTTTAAAACCTTACGAAGTGTTTTGGACACATGTAAGGTACAAACTGTTTACTTTGTAGTACGACGAAATATTTCGTAATTCATTAACTATTCTCTCCGTAAGTTCGTGTGTGCTCAAAATACTTTGTCCCAGCAGACTACTTTTCTTTGCAACGCCCAAAATAGTTTGTAATGTTTTCAGAGTGTACGATTACTCATGCATTGGCCGAGTACACTCTTAGATGTGATTGGCCCCGTAAGTTGGTGCAACGCATACGCATTTTCAAAGTGTACTTAGGAAGTATTCAATGTAAGTGTGAACTGAGAGGAAAGCATTTGTAAGTGTCACTGCAAGAAAAGGCGACATAACTACAACAAAACATTGCCAATTTTATTTATCAGGGGTTATTTGCGGTAATTTGAGAAAAACAATTATTGTATAAAGAACAGTGGGGCCAGCCTGGACCAGCATGACGAGTGCAGTCCAGTCCTCGTCCTACTTTAGTTCTGGTTGTACTTTTTGTAGTCCGCGGTGTACTTCTTTTCAAAGTTTCCGTCGTACTTTTGTCGTACAATGCGCACTTTACCTTGCAGTGGTGTACTTAAGAACAAAGCTAGGTTTTAGGGATAATTTTAACACCATTGTTTTCCATCTGCATAGAACGGCAAGGGCCCTCTTACCAGTCACGGGGTTGCCGGTGTCATGGTTCGCGAGCGCAGCCCACTGCAAGCGAAGAACGAGAAGCGCCCGGCCATGCTCATTCAGCACCACGGCACCTGGGCCAACAGCAAACCGTTGCTGCCCTACTGCCCGGAAAAGAAGGCGGTCCAAAACAGCACGGCGTCGTACTACAACCAGGTTAGGTTGGCCTTTCTGATCTCAGTTACACCGGTGTACTTATAGGTATTTGTTTAGTGGCTTAGGTTTAGGTTTTTGTTTAGGTTTAGCCCAGTGTTTAGGTAAAACACTGCGGCCAAAAAGTACGGAAAATTCTGTTGATTTTTTTTTGCCACGACTCTCCCTAGGCTCTTACAGTATCCTCCGTAGCACCGTACAGTCTTCTCCGTAGGACCTGGAAGACTGTATAGTGCTACGGAGATCACTGTAAGGTTCTACGGAGAAGACTGTTAGGCCTTACAGAGAATACTGGAAGGTCCTACGGAGGAAATTGACAAGGGGCGTACGGAGAATCACAACAAGCTTGCGGAATTTTCCGTGGCTTTTTGCCACAGTGAGAATGAGAGAATGGGATGTAATGAAGAGCAACAAGAAAAACGTCGCCTTGTCAATGTGTCTGAAAACTGTCGTTCTTTTCAGATTGCTCTCGACATCGTGCTCTTGCATCCGCGAGGAACAGGCGAGGTGCGACTGAATGTGACTCACCCCCATGAGGCGCCGGTCATCTTCCAGAACGTGTTCAGAGACCCCGAGGTGAGAACAATACCTTTCAACGCGGCAGGTCCGAAATTCTTCCACCACTCTACAGTAAATGAAAGAGTGCGTACAGAGATTCTTTAAGAACCTAAGTTGTCAAGAATTTTGGGCATCTTCAAACTTGTTCTGGGGAAATGGGCGTGTATGAGCGGCATTTAACTGACAGCAAAAATAATCTGTTTTAGGTTAGGTAAATCTTTACAAGCGTCAAGAAATGGTGTAATACGCGAGCAGCCAGGAGAGACGGGGGGTGGATAACGACTCTGGTACCGGCTGATTTTACCTGGACGGCAATCAAGTGATACACGGATCAATATTGGTGATTTTTCAGTGAAATTCATAGGTAATCCAAGGCGTAATCGGGTTGGTCCAGCTGACACGAAAACAAACAGTCGCTACCCCCTCGCACCAAAGTCTTGTCATGAATTTTTGAATTAAAACTTAGCCGTGACACCTCATGATGTCAGCTTTGCCGACATCAGGCAACCCTGCCGTAGATATAAATTATTGGTCTGTCGAGACCTAATTTAGATAATGAATCTCTCCATGCCATTCCCGCCTTCTCGTGCGTAGCTTGTCTTGAATCCGACATGTGGCGTAGTCAATTTTACCCACATGTTATGCTCCTTTTACTGCAGGACCTTCGTGTCTACGCTGCTGGCTTGAAACAAGCCGTGGACCGCTTCAATTCGTCTCGTACACTGCGAGAGGAGGGCGCGACTGTGTCAATGCCCTGGACAACGTGCGGTGGACACCAGCAGGGCAGCCAGTCATGGTAAACGCTCCGCTGACGTGCAGAAGAAAAACTTTGCTGGTTTTTGACCTTTCTTTTCTAGGGCTCCTATGAACAAAGACAGATCTACATCGCGTCGCGTTAACAGACAAAAGTGTTGCATAGGGTGCACCAACAAAGGCATTTCTGAGTTCAGGAGTCCTGATTCCAAACAAACTGTCAACCTTATATGCAGCCACTGTTTTTCATTTTTCAGCATGACATTTTCACATTCTTAATTCACAAGCACAGCACAAATATCTCTAATCGAAAATTACACTTTCTGCAGTCCCGGTTGGAAAGTTTGGACTTGAGCCGTGGACCGAAGTTCCCAAACTGCAGCATGTCAAAATGTGAAAAAAACTGAAGATATTGTTTACATACTGGACCGAAGCCCGGACAGTAGTAAAGAATTCAGTTTGGATGCACTTTCGAAGAAGTTCGTTTAGAGTTTTCACTAAATTTAAAATGACGCCTCAATTTTAAGTTTCATGCTGTCGTCTCGCACACTCTCAGCACGTTACTGAATTTTTCCTCATTAATTACACATTCGTGTAAACAGCAATAATACTTAGTATTTTTTTTAAGTATGACTAATTTCCTTTGTAAAATTATGTACAAAACAAAATTCTCAGTACAGTGTTTAATATTTCCTGAGTAGTTCTTTAAAAAAAAAAGAGGAAAATTACGTGTTATGGTTGCACAAATTACTCGCATAAGTACTGACAAAATGAGCAGAAAGTCTGTAACGTGCTGAGAGTGCATCATCACTTACAACTTCAATGTGTCAGTTGGTTCAATGGCTGTCTGCAGGTACGAGTGCGTGGTGCGCTCGGCGGGCGGTGTGACGTGGGGCCACGGCGTGGGGACCTGCAGCATCGGCCGCGTGGTGGACAGCCGCCTGCGCGTCCAGGGCGTGCAGGGCCTGCGCGTGGCCGACGCGTCCGTCATGCCGTGCGTCCCGGGCGGCAACACCAACGGGCCCACCATCATGATCGGCGAGCGGGCCGCGCACTTCATCAAGGAGGAGCACCGCGCTGGCTGAGGCTCGCCCAGGGTTGGCTACACTGCAAGAAAAAGTGTGACAAAATGTACAACAAAAACTACAATAAAAGTACAACAGGGATTGTAGAAAGTACAACGAGAATTGTACAAACCACAACGAGGCCCGGACTGCACAGCACTTGTCAGCCGGTTCCATTGTACTTTGTACAACAGTTGTTGTCGTGCTTTGAAAGTTGAATAAAAACTTGAAAAAAATTGCCAGAAATTTGTGTACTTTTGTTGTGGTTTTTTCTTGCTGTGTATGGCGGAGGTCCGGCTGCCGTGCGACCTTGAAACAATCTCTGCGGTTTCGCAAAAAAATTTCATTTAATTTACAGCAGGAGCACTGGACGTGCCAATTTGATCGATTTTCAGTTTCGAGTAGTTCAAAATAAAAGTAAGGGAGGGTGGGGCAGTTTGAAACAGAATTTGGAATTTCGTTATTATAATCGTACTGTGGGTCTATATGCTGCGTGTTTGCACTAGATTAATAGAATGACTCATTATCTAGACTAGAAAACGCCCCCAGACGCTTACAAGTTCGTTCAACGTTAATAATAAGTTGAAACTCCAACCCTTGCATCTGTTTCAAAGTGCCCCAGGCCGGGGCAGTTTGAAACAGCGATGGGGCAGTTCGAAACAGCTGTATGGAAGTCAACACGGGCCAAGAAGAGCCGCGTACACAACTCCAATAGATTCAAATAGACTCAAATAGACGTTGCCATGCAAGTGCTGACATTTTTACGAACTTTTTCAACATTTTTTATAATAATTTAAAAGCCAAAAACGCATATTTTTCAAAATGCGAATTTTTTGAAAATGCGTTTGGCAATGGATTCGTCTCAGAGAGGCGAACAAAAGTTGTTAACACACATTACTGTTTTGGAGTTGAAATAAAGGCCTTTTTCTGTCCGTAAAGTTTACAACAGTCTATAAATGTTGCATTTTGATGCAAGTCACGGGTCAAACATACAACGTCTCCATCAATGCCATCTGGAATTACGAACTTCCATCATCATGGTCGCTTTCCATAACATAAAACGTTTTTGCTAGTGATATTGCTGTGTTTCTAACTGCCCCATCCACTTCTGTTTCAAACTGCCCCAGAGGGCACCATTCCTGTTGTGTTGCTCCCCGCCGGACTTGGTGAGGACTACGTCAGTGTCCGAGGGTGCGTTACGCTTGCCTAATATGGTACTAAAAGATGAATTAAAAGCGCGGGGGATGATCGCTCACTAGCGAAACCCAGACGGAAACTCCCTTGACTTAGAAATTTAAGTTTAGGCCAATTTCAGTGTTACCGAAGTTTCACCTTTTTTTCAAGGCCACTAAAGTGCACCGTTGACGACCTGTCGATCGCAAATCAGTAAGATCATGAAAATAGAAGATTGTGCACACTCACATTTCCTTCGGCAGCCCTCATTGCTTTAATATTGGTGTTTGTTTCAAACTGCCCCTGTTTCAAACTGCCCCACCCTCCCTTACTAGATCTCTCCTGATTTCTGCCTATTTCTAGAATGTTGGAATGCGTCGAGGTTCGAAACCTGTACGAGAACGCGTTCTCGGGATAGATCGACTTTTACTTTAGGCCTATAGCACCAACCGAGTTAAATTGGCCCACGAAAATCAATTGTGGGCCAAAACAGACTATTTTTAAAACAGCCACAGCTTAGTAAATATGGATGATAGACGGGGCTACTATGCTGCAAAACGTAGTCCAAGGACCATAGTTAAAGGCCGCACATGCACTTTTGTCACCAGGTCAAAATTAAAGGCCTTAATTTGGAAGTTTCAAAAATGTGACCCACAATTGATTTTTTACCTTATATTACTTTGTAGGATGAAAATGATGGCAATCATGATCATGTAGAATATTACTCCATATTTTATGGATCTGAATCTCTTAAATCTCATTCAACAAACGTTAATGATAGACAGCAGATGGTACTCGTTTGGTTTTCTTCTGCGGGATAGTGTATTGGCTCCATCCAAAGATAATTTAGAATTTTGTATGAAATAGACCAATGAAATACATAGACCAGAGCGAGCTGGCCGGTGTTGGTACTAGCCGTGCCGAGCTGCACCGCCCCCCGCCGCGACCCGAGCGCGTCGAACCGGGCAGCAACGCAATCCCTGGCCAGTATAGATAGGTTCAGCCTGAGGCCATAAAAGAAGAAAATATCTCTCTCTCTCTCTCCCGAAGCTCCCGAACCGGGCCGAACCGGGAGGCATTGTTGGTCGCTGCGATGTTCCGCGCAGACTGCGAGCCACAGCCTCACGCATTCACTCACTATCCCGCCCGCGCAGGCAGCCAGCCCCTATGGACGTAGAGATAAATGAATCTCTGCCAGACTGAGAATGGAGAGAACATTGGCAACCCCGCACCGTCCTCTTTCCGGAAAGGAAGAAGGATAGACAAACGTGTTTGCTCCCGACTCCTTGCTCCGTGCTTCGTCCATATTCTTCGAATCGCCCCGATCATCCCTCTGCATTGTCTCATGAAGAGAACCCAGCCATAGTCAAAACCAGACTGAATCTCCACAGGCTTTAAGAAACAACACTGATGTACGTCTGGCTTGGGTTGCCATCTCACTCTGGCATAGAGCCAAATGAGCTGGCTGATGCAGCGGCCAAAGTGGCCAGAGTCCTAGGACAGCCCTGCTCAGAGCCACAACTATTCAAAAACTTTTACCCGAAGATTCAAGAGCACCACCTCCAGGAATGGAAAACCGAATGGAACCAGGCCACTACAGGACGCCATAATTTTAAATTTAATAAAAACCTCCAAGCAAAGCCGTGGATCAGAAGACTTCCAGAACTTCCGAAGAAATACCTAGGACCTTTGATTAGGATTCGGCTAGGGCACTCCCTAGCTCCGGCCTCTCTAGCCCGTTTCAAAATAATTGACCACTCTGGATGCCCTCGATGCGGCGAAGAAGCTTCAACTCAACACCTCCTAGAGACTTGTAATTTCACCGACAAAACTTAATTCGAAGATCATCTCAGCCAAAACCGCATCCAGGAGCCTTACATTGCAGAAGTACTACTATCCACCACAGAACAGATAAAAAATAATAGTTGAAGCATACAGAAAACTTCTGGACGCAAATCCTCACATAATAATATAAATTCACATCTATTAGGAAGAAAATCAACCAGCAATTTAAAAGAAAAACTTGGAATTGAAAAAGAAGAAAGCCCTGGCTAATATGCCTGAGGGCAAAAGCCATCTACATTTATGCCCCCCCCCATTGTCTCAAATTTGATCAACAATGGATGAACCGTTGCCTGATTTGTCGAAGCCTCCGCCCACCGTGGTGTGGCGTGAGCATTATCAGCATCAACAGGTGCGTATATTTTAAAACACGTCCTTTCTTGGATTAATCTACACCACCACAACGTCAATTCATTGGCAATGCAAATAATTCGCATGTGAATCACGGGTTTCCAATGAATGGAGGTGTTCAGTTGGAGCGTCATAATTCTTAGCCTTGTCGTTCTGCCCCGACCCCTGCCAGTGCAGCAGGCAAAAAGTCACTTCCTTTAATTTTTGGTATTTTTATATTTTGGCTTTTTCTTGAATCTCGTATTTTGTTTTTACTATTCCAATCCTGTTTCGGTGATACCACACATTCTGAAATGCAGTATCATTATCAACCAGTTCCCTTTGGCTCTGACCTTCCAGCCGTCACTGCAAGCGCTGACCATCAGGTAGTAGACGGTGTCATAATGTACTTTCTCAGTCCATTTCTGAAATCTCATATTTTGTGTTAACTGTTAAATCTTTTTTAGCAACGTCAATTCATGGGCAATGCAATTAATTCGCAAGTGAATCACCGGTTTCCAATGAATGGAGGTGTTCAGATGGAGCGTCATCATTCTTTGCTTCTACCTCAGCCTGTATTGGCACCTGCAGAGGTAGTGTATTGTCTGTATCCCTTTATTGCTATGATGAGTTCTCTCTGCCTGACTGAAGGTTCTGCTTCAAGCAATCGAGCTGCAGGTCTCCCGTAGTGGAGCCTATTGATCAGCCTCAGCCAGAGGCACCTGCTGAGCCGGGCATCCGTAGTCGTATGAAGACCAGCAATAGAAGGACTGGTCAAGACCAGGCAAGTACCAGTACTGGAAGGACTGGCAGCAGGCTGCGAAGCGCTGTGGTAGGTCGATTTGCTCGTCACTGGTTGGTTGTTTTCTTCTTGAAAAATCTTATGTAGTGCGCATTAGAATTCTGCACTTGTCTTTGTTTTTCAGGTGAAAGAAACATTGAGCTGTGATGAAAGTGAAAGCAGTGTCATGAAACCCCAGCCAAACCCCCAGAAAAATACGAAGAATCCAAAGAAAAATTAACAAGAAGAAAAGGTGAGATGCGTACCATGCCAACAATACCGACATGACCCATCGCGGCAGATACCAAACCCTTGGCCCAAAGCACGACCCTGGGGAAGGCTGCACGTAGATTTTGCAGAACCAACAAACAAAAACTATGTGTTTGTTAGGTGTCTTCACAATTGTAAGAGGTTTGTGTCATTTCGAAGAAGTATGTTTCATATTTGTGGTGATTGCGCCTTATTATGGTGTTGCTTATTTTGTCAGATATTCAATGAGAGGGCTACCACCTCCAGGCTTTCCAAATCCAAACTCTTACTAAGGAGGAAGGGGCCAGCAGCGCCCCGAGAAGAAGAGAACAGTGAAGAGGCGGATGAGCCACCTCCAAAAAAGGAATCTGCCAAGGAAGGCAGCCCCCAAAACAAGGGGAAAGGGGCCCAAGCCTCTGGCACATGCAGAGGAGGACTCTGAGGATGATGGCGCACAAGAAGAGGCAGCGCAACCTGAGTACTGTAATTGTCTGATACACACTTGGTTTCTGAACTCTCAAGTAAAACCTAGCTGAAACCTTTGTGTGTCTTGTATTGTTCTAGGTATATTTTCAAGGAGTAAAGGTATCATCTGCCAAAAATTTCTTCTCTGCTGGTGGTTGAGAGGCGGCACCCGTCGCCCTGTAGCTGCCCTCACGAGTTCCGAAGCAGCAGGGGGACACGGAAACGGTCCTCCTGGAGCTTCGAATGGGAAGAAAAGTAAAGAAGGTTCCCCAGAAGAAATGGCGCGACCTCCAGGAATGGCATCGGGACCGTCGTCTCTGACTTCGGGACCCACAGGAAGAGCGGTATCGAGTGTTGATATCAGCGGAGTGGGGGTGAAGGCGGCGCCGCGCACGTTACCCCCACCCAGTCTGCCCATTCCGGCCCCCACGACTCTTGTTTCTCCCGCTGTGTCGCTGACTTCCGGTCTAAACTTCTTACGAAGTACCTACCCTATTGCATCATCCATTTGATTGGATTTAGTTTGCCCTGCAAACAAACAATTCTTTCTTTCTTCTGTAAAATGATGAATACTGAGTTATCCCCTTCTTCCGCTTCATGGATCTGTTTTCATGTGCTCACTGAAAGGCATGAGACTTTCTTTGTCCCATGAGTTACGCAACACTGGTAAAACCATAGCGTAGTATTACCCTCTGTTTTCAAGCGTAATCAGGCTCATCCGCCAAGATTCCCCCTATCTAAATGCATGGGGAAATTTCCAGAGTATGCTTCATTAAGCGTAACGTCTTCAAGCGTAACTCTATGCTTGACGCATAGTGTTACGCTATAGTTTTACCTGTGAATTTTCAGCACATCCGTCGGTGATGCAATGTCGTGCCCATCCGTCGTATTAATTTCCCAATGTCTGTTGCAATTTTCTTTTTCATGAGACAAATTGGTGTGGCCGGTGACACAAGAATTGCATCCCTGACGGATGCGCTGTAAGTGGCATGATCCATGGGACAAAAAAGGCCCGTGACACTAAGTGTGTGGCCCTTCACGAATACAGGCACTTGCCATTGACATGAGTGGTCAGTGACAAAGCCGTTTCGGTCGAGGGATACCTGAGCTATCTGATTCGCTAACACCTACACGTGTGCCATATTGAGTATCTCATTAAATCAACCAACAAACCGTATGATCCTTCACATTCTGATTTATCTCTGGTGTTGGAGAAGAGGGGTCCGTGTCACATCACCGAAAAAGAAATGAAGTCACGATAAGGAACAATCGAAGTCACAATCAAAGCAAACCATGTGTGCGGCCGAGCGCCGCCGAGACAAAGTTCAACGTCTGCGAAGCTGATATGGGCGGTGAGGCGAGCGGAGAGGAAGGCGGTGACTGCACGCACTGTTAATAGTCCACTCCTAAAAGCCTGCGAAGCATTTGCTTCGTAACTACGAAGAAAATGAAGGCATTGTAGAAATGCTTCGTATTATGAAGAAATGCTTCGTATTACGAAGGATTTTCCTTCATAATACGAAGCATTTCTTCGTAGATTTTACAATGCCTTCATTTTCTTCGTATTACGAAGCGATTCTTCGTAGAGTTTTTACTGTGTTCAGTCCATGAATTTATGGGCACTTCACAAAATTTCCATATTTCCATAAAAAAATCCAGCCCGTGTAAAAACGAATTGTTCCGAAATCTTGCCGCCAGCCGTCCGAAAGAGCCCCCGCCACCTCGGGCTGTCCCCAGAAGCGTCCGAATGCCTTCGGGTGATTCCGTAGTTAGTCCGCGAAGGAACCGCTGTTCGGACGGGCCAGACCGATATGTGCCCGGGACTCGCCGGAAAGTCCGGGTCGGTCCGCCGGGAGTCCGGGGCAGCGGACTTACCCGGAATACGTCCGAGGAGGGTCTCCCCTCCGGACTGTTTTCGGAACTCTGCACCGTTTCCCCCTCGCTTTGGGACTTAGACAAATATTCCTCTAGCGGAGCTACAGTTGAGGTGTGTCGAAGTGATTCCACAATACATTGAACATGTTCAATCTCAAACATTCGCCTTTCGTAAGGAAATTTAGAACAAAAAATTTATTGGAAATACAGCAACTTTTTGTCGTAACTGAGTATGTGCCGAAACATACCACAAAACGTGGTTCAAATTGCAAGAATGCATACAGTCAATTAATTTGAATGATTTCGTACAACCGGAGAAACACAAAACTTTAAATACAGGTATCCATAAGAAAACGTGTTGGACGTAAAATATTTTAAATTCGAGGTTCCCTCGCGAAATCCCCACTCTTCTATCTTGAAAATCGCGCCTCCCAGCGCCCAGAGGAAGGAGCAGAGCGGAGAGCGCAGCGCGGAGTCAGTGAAGAGGCTCACCGGAGCCCCCGGTCCTCATCTGTCGGGTTAGCTCAGTTGGCTCCGACGTCAGCACTGGTGTGCAAAGGAAGAGAGGAAGGTGGGAAGCGAGGGTTCGAATACGACTTGCCTCTGGCTTTCCACCGTCGGATTTTTTTCGGAACCGAGACTCGGACAGTCCGAAACCAGCCCGCACTTCGGTTCTCGGACACATCCGTAAAGTTGCCGATTTGGGAACATTCTGGAGCTTCGTCGGACTAGCCCGACGGACCTCTTTCGGGCTGGAACCCCGCCCGGACAGATCTCGGAGCAAATAATTTTTATAAGGGAGCCGTCTTAAAATGGAAAGTTCACGTAAAGTTTTTTTCAAGACAAAAAACATTGATGTTTACAAATGACAAATCACTGTTTCTAATCGGAAAAATATACCGTTTTGTGAATGGAAAATGCGTTTCCTAAACGGAATGTTATAAAACTCCGTTTGGAAACCAGAGCATCCTTGGCAGAACGCTATTTCTGTTCTTTTATCAAACAGTAGGCATTGTTTGTGTTAATAAATTTGCGTCAAATTTTTCGTTTGTAGCAGTTCGGTGAGAGGGTCATGTGAGGAAAGTTACATTGAAATCGAAGGTAAGCCAATTTAAGAACAGCAATTTTTCGGGAATAATTATTCTTTACTGAGACAGTGACATCGAAAGTTCATCCAATCGTCTCGAAACTACTTCCATCGTGTTCCCCAGCTCTTATTACGTAAATGACCATGGTCAAAATAAATCTAAAGAATTTGAGTAAGCTCTCTTAAAAGCCTACGAAGAATTTGCGTCATAACTACGAAGAAAATGAAGGCATTGTAGAATTGCTTCCTATTTATGAAGAAATGCTTCGTATTACGAAGGATTTTGCTTCATAATACAAAGCATTTCTTCGTAGATTTTACAATGCCTTCATTTTCTTCGTATTACGAAGCGATTCTTCGTAGAGTTTTTACTGTGAGCAGGAAGAAAAATATGGAAAATGTCATAATTCTGACCGAAGTGAAAAATTCGCTGTATTATCACAGCCAAACGGGGCGAGATATCGCAAGATCCCTTTGACATGAGATCTTTGTAAACTGATCCCTGCCCCTTTAAAAATTTTCATCCATGGATCAGTTTAAAAAGATCTCATGTCAAAGGGATGTTGCGATATCTCGCCCCGTTTGGCTGTGATAATACAGCGAATTTTTCACTTCGGTCAGAATACGAGTCTGAGAGTGCAAATCGAAGAGATGTGATTCCAAGAGTCCGTTGGTTTGACAAGGAAACGCCCTTCTTGAAAAATGAAACGCTAGGATCTGGCACCTTTTATTGAACAAGTTTATTAAGGCTTTTCAAGGAACAAAGGAACAGACTTTGAAACATTACAAACAAAGGATTCTATGATGGAATTTAAAGTTAAGACATCAAGTAAAATATCCGACATGGCATAACTATAAAAACTGACCAAACATTACATAAATACGACAACTGAATTATAGATCACAAATTGGATCTGTTCTCACATCTAAATGTGAGGGAATTGAAGCATACAGGAAACCTGATCTACATTCGGAAAATAAGTAGAAACATTTATAAGAGGAACTGCATTCAACGACATTTAACAAGTTTAAAAATTAAAAAAAAGTTCAAACTAAATGTGGTGACTGCGCAGGCTCATTATTCCCCGTTGGAGGAGACAGCAGAAACAACGGAGGAACATGGAAGCTCGGCAACCTGCAAGCAGCCTCGAGGACAGTCGGCAGTCCGACGGTGCAAGGAAAACGCCGAAACGGGGATGCGCTCTTTGTCGCAGAACCAACAGTCACAACTAATGCGGTCGCTATCCTCGTCGCCATAGGGGTCTTCCCAGACTTTTAAGTGAAGTTGAGGGTTTCTCTGAAGCAAGTCCTGGATGCGAGTGCTGCGCACCCAAGCCAGCAGGCAGTCTTCCTCACACCAGATAGTCAGCGTGGTGAGTCGGGGCGCGGACTTGGGTGTCACTGCCCGCAGGAAGTCATCCGAGGGAGTCTCCTGAAATGACAGGTGACGCAAGGCAGGGAGCCGGGGCAGGCAAGCAGCCAATGCCATGAGGTCTGGGTCCGACATCAAGGTATACAAGTAGAGAGCCTCAAGAACATCGACAGAGCGCGATTCCGTTAGGGCCTGGAGTGCGCCAGTAGCAGGAAAGTTAATGGCGTCTATTAAGTCTGGTGTGAAGGCCACGGATCTGAGCTGCGACGACTGACGAATGAAGTCCAGAGCCGCAGGAACCGGGGGGCAGTTTACGGAACGTAGCTTTGGCAACGTTCTCAAGGTCAAGTAGACCTCGTCGTCACCGCAGTATTCCGTCAAATCCACCTCTTCCAATGTCGCAGCATGCGTCTCCAGGAACACAGAAAGCCACGGTTCCGAGTACACTGTTGATGTACTACAATACCAAAACGACGTTAGAGACGGCTCCTGTCTGGATAACAGTGCCTGCTGCGGCATTTCATTGTGTCCGATGAAAATCTTGAGTTCTCGCAAACCCTGAAGGTTGTAGACCAGGTGTAGGAGTTCAGGATCCGTGGTATCCAAGGCCGCAGAGGTCTCAAGATCAACCACTTTCAGGCCGCCGAGCGAGTGCACCGCCTGCAGTATGGTTCTGGCCAAGGCCACGCCCGACGATCCGGTAATCGACAGCTTCAGCCCAGCTATGACGCAAGCAGTGGCGGACAGCATGGACGCAACGGCTTCCACCAACTCAGCTTCTCCTTCAACGAAGACTTTCCGGAGGCAAGGGGCCAGACTCAGGGCAGCGCGCATGAGGCCTCGTGTAGCGCCCCTCCCCTTCAGTGGAGCATACCGCAACTCCACAGACCGCCACAGGTCCGGGTGCAGGCAGAGCTCGCTCAGGCAGCGGCACGCCACGCGGCAGCAGAAGAGCTCTCTGGGCGACAAGTACGCCAGCACGGCCAGCAGCGCGTCGTCCGGCAGGGACAGGAGCTGTGGACACAGAGGAAGGCCACAAAGCAGTAAAAATAAGCAGCTCCAGACAAAAAATAAAATAAAAAACATGGGCCATACTCTGCCAATTCAAGTGTGAGGCAGTCTCACACTACTTTGCGAACCACTGTGTCTCGCGGTTGCAAGCGTGAGCCACGTTTGTACCACGATTGCATGTGTGACACACCATTTGTCTTACACTTACAAGTGAAAGAGACGTGATGTGTCTCGCACTTACACGTGTGAGACGTGATGTGTCTCACACTTACAAGTGTGAGACGTGATGTGTCTCACACTTACAAGTGTGAGACGTGATGTGTCTCTCACACTTGCAAGCGTGGGACAAACGCGGCTCACGCTTGTAAGCGTGACACACAGTGGTTCGCACAAAATCGCCTCTCAAATCTAAACTGTTTGTGCTATAATTTCCACACCTTACTTATGCTCCTTAACTCCTTTGTGTTACCTCTAGGCACGAAGTTGCATAAGAGTTTTCTCCAAGGTTAAGTTTTTTCTTGTTTCATTTTTTTGTTCTATAAATAAAAATTGAATTTCATGGTGGTCTTTCTTTTCTACTGTAATATTTGTAAATCAATGGAAGTTTGCCGTAAATTAACGAAGGCATCGTCGTACGACAAACTTCCGTTAACATTAATTGTAAAATTACGAAGGAAAATCGGAAATTTTCGAAGTTCGTCCTAAATTTGGGACGGGCTTCGTTAATCTGAGTGATGCTTTACCGGAAAGAAAATTCCGGGATAGGAGGCTACATTGGAATTTAATTCTTTTGAATAAAAATAACAAAATGCGCCTAACCCCAGAGAACTGTAAGGATGCTACTTCATGCCTAGAGGTAGGACAAAGGGGTTAAGGATACTAAGTAAGGTGTGGAAACTATAGCACCAACAGCTTAGATTAGAGAGGTGATTTCTGGCCATTCTGAGCTAATGGATAGCGAGCAAAACGACTTCATGATAAGTCGAAAAGGCATCTGCTTTGACTGAGGTATCAGACTCGAATCCCACACAAGAGAAAAACCAGCTTAGAACCAGCTGGTACCGTGGACGGTACGTTAAGTGCGAACAACGGAGTCTTTTCAGAATTAAAAAAATTCCAATGCTAATCGCATTGCAAGGTGTTCCCATTTTCACATTTGGCTATTTTTAAATGGCCATGTATTGCACCGTGCCAGTGCCAACTGTTCAATGATTATGAGAAAATCCAAAAATTTCAAAGTGCGCATGCGCTAAATTCAAACCAACAAATAGAAAAGAGTTCTGGTCAAACCTGATTCAGTTAACACTATGACCACCTCACTCCATCTCGCGACTTACAGTGCTCATGTTCGCCAAACGAAAGTCACCCGCGTTCCGAAATCACCCCTCCCGAGTTTATTAAGTTTGTCAAACCAACCATCGTGCTGTTTTCACGTTGTGAGTAAGAACTGTTCTACAAAATTGAGGAAAACATGTCAAGACAACCGCAGCCTTTAAAAGCATGCCAAACAATCCAACCTCAGCAACAATGGAGGGGCAGTTTCATCCGTATTACAAGCAAAATCTATCCGTAATTGCAATTGCACAAAAATGTCCGTAATACAGATAGGATGTATCCGTAAGAAGTTTAGTGTGCACATTCATTGGTAAAACCAAAGCGTAGCATTACCCTCCGTTTTTAAGCGCAATCAGTTTATGCTTGAAAACAAGTCCAACAGGCTCTTCCCCCAACATTCCCCCTTTCTAAATGCATGCACTGATAAAACTAAAGCGCAGTATTACCCTGTTTTCAGCCGTAATCAGTTTACGCTCGAAACCAAGCGTAACAGGCTTATCGGCCAAGATTCCCCCTGTCCAAATGCATGGGGGAATCACCACAGTATGCTTCATTCCAAGCGTAACGTCTTCAAGCGTAACTCTTTTCTTAAATCAAGCACTGAGAAAACCTTTCAAACTAAATCAGGCCTTTCAAAGCAAAGCAGTTTGTTAGAACAAAGTATTTTGAGCAAACATAAGCTTACAAAGAAAATACTTCGTATCATACAAACGTTACTAATTCTTCGTAAAACAAAGTAAACTAGTTGTATGCTCAAACTGCTTCGTAACGTTTTAAGGGTGAGCCTAGAGTTGCGCTGTAGTTTTACCAGTACGGAGGAATTTTCAGAATATGCTTCATTTCAAGCGTAACGTCTTTAAGTGTAACTTAATGCTTGGGTCAAGCAAAGAGATACGCCTTAGTTAGTGTTCCTTTCAACGTGATGTCACGTTCCTGGAATGAGAGTGCTTGCTCTGAGTGAAAACCCCCGTTTCCAGAGCGGCTCGAGTTTCGTAACGGGCAGCCCCTGCGAGCGAAGCTCACGTTTGCAAAAGACTCACCCGAAGCGTATCCATGCCACTGGCTGTTGAGGACGTCGATTCCGAGTTGCTGAGGTCCGCAACGTTCGCAGAGTGGTCCATGGCTCGCCGCCGAAGGATCTTCACCGCGTCGAGGTCTTCGCCCATATGAAAAAGAAAGGCTCCAAAAACAGCCCGAGCGGGGGCTATGTCCGAAAACGGTTCCACCGGACTGGTCCGGCTGACATCCAGAATGTTAGAAATCCGGCAAGGTTTCGGGTGTTGTCCGACGACTAGATTCGGACTCTTTTCGGACTAACCCGAAGCAAGGCCGGCGAGCAGGGCGGGCTGCTCCCCGCCGCCCCCCACCCTTCCCCTCCCTCCCGAAACCCCTCTCCTCCCTTCGGAATCCCCTCCCCTCCCTCTGCAAGTGCAGTGCAGGCAACACTGCAAAGCCGGTGCACTTGGCAAGCCGTTTTGAATGTTGAAAATTGGCAAGCCTGGTCCTGAAATACTTCCGAGTTCGCTAAATTTGGGCATTGCTGGCGGCCGAAGCGCTAAGTTTGGGCAAACTGGAAGATTTCAGGTCAGGGCTTGCCAATGTTTAGCATTCAAAACGGCGTGCCACTTTTGTGGCAGGCAAACTTGGCACCGGATTTGAACTTACGATAGAAATCAAGTAGTTGATATGTAGGATAAAAATAATTTCCGATGGAAAGCACTTTGGGGACGAGAGTGCACGGGGAAAGGCGAATTAAATGATACACCTCTCGCCCTCGCACCGCCCGTCCCTTTAGTGTTGGGAGATGCACACAGAACAGCAAGCGTAGAGTCACTAGCGTCCTAAACGGTCATCACCCAAAAAAAATTTTCAAACTAAAACACATTTCTTTCCGTCCAACTGGCTCGTTCCCAGCACAAGGCTGCGCAAGGCTGCAGCGCGCGGAGGCGACATGGCTTCAGCGCGCCGAGCGAGTGGACTCTGACGCAGGCAAACGCGATGCGTGCACCTTGGAGGGCAGCTGGAGACTGACGTTTTGCGTGCCGAGGCGGCCAAAACTTTCCGAGTTGCCGAAGGATTAAGGCTCCCCTCCTGGCCGAACCAATCAGAGAGCGCCTCCGACCGGCCCGGGCCAGCAGGCTTTTCCGCGCCTGCACCGGCAGGGACAGTCCACCACACTCGGCTCGCTGCCGATCGGTCTGCCGGACAAGTCGCTTTCGGGACTAGGATCTACGGGCTCCGTACGGGCTAGTCCGATGGAAGCATCATCTGATCGGGCATCCATCGGGCCGTCCCAGTCCCGACGCGGGCTCGTGGCGGACTGTCCGACCTGGTCTCGGGCGCTCTATGGAACAGTCCGAGGGTGTTCGGACTGATTCGGACCGATTTCGACCAGGTTTCGGAACATTTCGCTTTTATGTGGGCGTCGCCGGTAGTTCCACCGCAACCTCTAACTTGGCAATCCAGACTGCAGCCTCGATTCACACACGCGGCAAGGCTGCAAACGGTAGCGAGCACACTTAAAACCCTACAAAGAACTACTCGTTGAAATACAAAGACAACGAAGGCTTCGCATCCAACGAAGGAAAACGTTTGTAGTACACACGATTTTGTTTGTAATTCAGAGAAAAGATGCTTCGCAGGCTGCGAAGAAGTTCTTAGTAGGCTACAAAGGATTTTTTCGTTGAATTACAAACAAAATTGTTTGTATTGCAAACGATTTCCTTCGTAGGCTGCGAAGCCTTCGTTCAGTACTTTACGAAGTATTTTGAACAAATGCAAGGTACAAACAATTTAGCCACTGTGGCGTGTTGGGAGACATGCCCTGCATACAGTGCTGAAGCGCAGTGACGCGCGGGCCAAAATCAGGTTTCCATATGGCTTTTAATCAACCTGGCGCCAGGTGAGTTGGCTTGCCTACCTGTACGGCGCATGGACCCTTCGGGCCAGCGCATCCATTGCTGCCGAGTGCAGGCACATCGTTGCCTCGCTCCCACGGTCCCATGCCTTGTCGCATCAGTCTGAAACTTGGAGGGCTTTGAAATGAGGTCTGGGCCGAGTGATGTGACGTTGTTTGGGACTGCTACCCCCATTCAGTGAGTCGCTGGAAGGGGGTGAAGTGAGGGGTGGTTTTTACTGGAAATGACGCTTTTTTCGCTCTGGAAGACGAACGGTTGGTGGGATCGTCTTGAAAACTTCAGGATCGCTTCCCCCATGTCTTGTTCGACCAACCCGCTCGTCTGAGGGCTTCCAACCCCTCCAGGGGCGTGCAGGGGTGCAACGGGGTGAACACCCCGACCGCAGGGGTTGCAGTCGTCCGGCACCGGGTTTCTTCGCTGAGACGTCTTCTTGGACACTGAAGGGATGCCCCCTGGAGTTTTGTTGCATTTTGCTCCAACCGAAAGGCCCCGCACGGCCGGTGTTCGAAAGGGGGTGGGGCTTTCCGGTGGATGATTCACCCGGGGGTGGTCGGAACCTCGAAAAAACATGATTGCTTGGTACGGGGGACGTCCTGACGCTGTTTTGCGCGAAATTCGAACTTGCTCGAAATCCGCCCCCTTGAGGGGGTGGGGGTGAGGGCAGCGGGGGGTGGGTTGGTTCAAATTGAATTCCGCTTGCATCGTTGGAAAGAGGAGACTCATTTGACCTCGTACACCAAAACTTTGGACTCTGCGATAGGGTAAAGTTGGTTTTTACGGCACGTTTTCATCGTTTTTTTCACCCTTGCGCACTTAGGGGTGGGTGCCGTCCGTTAGGGGAGGCGCACGGGCCACGCGCTTCGCAGGCCTCGAGGGGAGTAGTGGGGGCACCCGTGTACAAAATTTCAGCTTCCCAGCTCGAAAGAAGTAGAAAATATGACGATGACTAAAAGCGTTCCTCTAATTTTTGTCGGGAGTGTATGTTCTTTAAAACCTTACGTGTACTCGGAGTATATTCTTATGAAGCTACTCTGCTTCGGTATAAGCATGGAAGTTCGTAATGATTTCGGAGTGAAGGAGTAAATTGGAGAAGATAAAAGAAGTTGAAGTACGGGGTATGAAAACGTGCACCGTATCCTTCGCCTACTGCAGAGATCTCGCCATCCAGAGGACCGACTGTGTTTCACCAAGAGATCGTGAGCAACGAGCAATCGTGCCAACATTAGGAATTTTACTGTTAGGATCAACCACGACGCGTCTTCAGGTCATGTGACTCCACGTTTACCATGGTTGATTAATTAATAAGTCGTGGCTCGCGATCTACCGAGGCACGATACAAGACGAGATTTCTGCATTAGACCAAAGAAAGGGTTCACGGTTTCTTACCCTGCACTTTCGTTCCTTAAACTGGAACCCTATACTTCTACAACTTCTCGTTTAAGCGGAGTCACGAGAGAAGAGCACGAAGAACAGACTGGTGAAACAAAGGCGTAGTATTACCCTCTGTTTTCAAGCATAATCACGTTAAGCTTGAAATCAAGCGTAACAGGCTCATCCGCCAAGTTCCCCCTATCCAAATGCATGGGGGATTTTTCAGAGTATGCTTCATTTCAAGCGTAACGTCTTCAAGCGTAACTTGATGCTTGACTTAAGCATCGAGCTACGCTGAAGTTTTACCAGTGTACCACATGCCGAGAAATATCGAGACGCTCTCACTACTAGTTCAAAATAAAAATATCAAGTTGTTGCCAAATTACTATTTTATCAGACAAGAACTGACAAACTATGAATACTAAATATGATTACTACTTTCTTTTCCCATCTTATAAATAAATCGAAAGAAAATAAAGATTTATCATAGGGTCAGGGCGGGGAAGAACTGGACGTTTTGCAATCTTTCTCGACTTTGACTCTAATTGACTATCTTTAGCCAATGTATCGGTTGGGTCTGTTGATCGAGCCTCAAAGAAAGGCATTTCAACCCTCAGCGAGTGCGTTTGCGGCTTCATTTAGTAATACATGAGAAAAAACAGTGTGCGATTCTTCCCCGTCGAAACGGGGAAAAATCGAACACCTAAGGGGAAAAATCGGACATAGACTTTAATTTAACAAAAATCTATGAAAGTAGGTCAGAAATCTCTTGGGAACGATATTTGGGGGTAACACTTGCAATACCCACTGAAGCAGGCGCACGAGTATTCCTAGATGAACAGAAATCATCGAAGCATTGTTAGGGGGTCCGTGGCGGCACGTTTTTGAGGTTAAATGACCAAAATGTATGAAATCGTCAACAGCCGTGTTCGTTTTCCCACTAAATGTTGGGAAATGCTACAATACACTTGTTACGACCACTTTGGTGGAATGTTAGGACAATTCGACGACTTTTATAGAAAAAAGAGGTGTTCGATTTTTCCCCGCACCAGTGTACGGTTTTTCCCCGTTTCGTATTTAACTCTTCAAACGTAATCCAGCTGCAAATCTGTCAAAACATTTGAACGTATCTTGGGCTCCACACTTCGAACTTTCGTTTACAATAAGAATATTCGTCACAGTAGGCTCGGAAAGTCGTTAAAAAGAGATATTGCGGGCACCAACTTTGAAAGTTTTTTAGGTGTTTTAAACGAGACCTCGTTTAAAGATGACTTTGAATACTTTCCGGTTCAAGTAGGCTAAATTCCTCTCAAACGCAATCTACCAGATCATCAATAAGCAATACTGAATACTCTGCACGTCCCAAAATAGGCCAATTTGTGGCAAAAGTGCGGTGTGCGTTTCTTCCCCAACTTGCGCGTGTCCGATTTTTCCCCGCCCTGACCCTACTGTGCTTAGTGGAGTAAGCAATGCTCTTCAAAGTATGTAGAAAATCAAAGCAAATGGAAAATAATGTACTAAATTGCAATTCACAGCTTCTTGAAACTCTTTTGCTAAGAACAAATTTAAGGTACAAAAATTTTGGGATCGTGGACGTACCAACATTTTGTCCGAGGATCTGTTAAAACCCACCCACAAAGTGTGAAACCACTGATGACATTGGTGACAACGCACCGAGATTATGGCAGCCTCATCTCTATAACACAATCTCTCTATGAACACAGTAGAGAACACGCACCACAAAACTCATTACTCTCTTCACCCCTTTTCAAACAGCCGCTGATACTGTATTTGTAGATGTGTTGTCTGTGAAATAGACGACATTTTTTTACATAGCTGACGGGTTGAGATTTTGCAATTTGCTCACCAAGGTGGCAGATATTCGGAAAACAGTTGACACTATCAATTTATTTATTCATAGTTACAATCTTCATTTGCCAATTCTTATACGTTGGGAACACAATTCGCATGTCACTCAGCACTTGACAAGAGAACAGCCCCGTTTCGTGCAACGGATGCCTGCATAGGATCATAGTACAAGATTTTCTGTTCTTTGAGTATATATACTTTGAGTATAGAACAGCTATTACTTTCCAATACATGTTGTTGAGGTTGGCTGGTAGAACGAAAGGTCTCATTTGACATACATGTGGGAATCGTCTTTGGAGATATGTTGTATTTGAGATCTTTGCCGCTCGTAATCCAAGGTCAGGTGACATCACAATAAAAACATCCTTAAACTCCGTGGATAATTTGTGGAAAAGGGCATTAGTGATAGATGAATACAACCGTCCAGCTTGAAAGATTGGATCTGATTGTTTTTATGTGTTTACTTCATGCGAAGGCGATTCCAACTCGACTTCAAGTGAATCAAAGGAATCTTCTCGTCTCCACCATATAACCGCCATATTTTCTGAAAATATATTAACATTCTTATCAAAATAGACACTTCTAGCGAGGCCTGAAGTGAAGAACACGAAGAAGAACATAGACCGGAAACAGTTCAAGGAATCGGCCTTTTTCGGGGGTTTTGGCAGGTTTAAAAGTGGGGACCCTGGTGAAACTTTCAAGTAGGCTTTAAAATAATCCCAGAAAGTTGAAACTTTGCTTGATTATTGGCTGAGCGATAGCGAAGCCTGTTACTCCAGTGCGGTTGAAAAGTTTTTTCTGTCTGTCAGTCTGTCTGTGTGTGTGTCTGTGTGTGTACACTACTCCTCCTGAACGGCTCGGCCGATCTGGCTGAGATTTTGCAGGCTTATTAGGTATGTTCTTGGCTCGGCACACGCGAAATTTCACTATCCTAGCTCACGTGGTTCAGTTTTTGTAGCCGAAAAACACCTAAAAAACGGCGAAAAATCGAGTTTTCTGCAGTCAGATCACTTCTGTCTTGAAGGAAGGAGGGTCCGGGGGCCGTGCCCCCCAGCCTCGAGAATTTAAGAAGTTACAAGGGCCAAGATCGTGATATCTATTGATGAAACAACTCTATCTAGAATGAACGGGGGTCTGGGGGGCTCATGCATTATCAAGTAAAATGTCACCGACGATGGACAAGCCAATGCCTGCCGAAGGCAGGCTAGCGCCGCAGGCCAAGGTAGGTACGCCAGGCGCGGATTGGAGGAACAGGCCGCGAGACATCGCGAAGCCTGTTACGACAAGACGCGGTCTGGCGTAAACCTACCTTGTTAGGTTCATTATGGTGAGTTCGTGAAACAAAATTCAATCCAAAATGTTGAACGGTCTCTGAGAAAAGTGGCTTTTTAGTGTTTTTTAGAGCGTTGGGGAAAAATCTTCCTGCGTCTTTCATTGGAACGGAAAGTCTTGAAAAATTTTGGGTTATCCTTAAGATGTTTAGAAGAGATTTTAGTGACGGAATTTTTAATTTCAACTTCTGTCCTGAGATGTCAATTTTCAAATTTTAACATTTAAAAAAAGTGAATTTTTTGCCTTTTTTTTAAGCTTTTAGGTGTGTTAAAAAAAGTAGGGCTGATATCAAGATTCCGTCACTAAAATTTGTCGATAAGTCATCAATGAATAGAGTCCATGCAAGACGACTCATGTAGCTGTCAACCAGGAACGCAGGAAGTCTTTCTACGACAAAATTTTTTGTCGCCATTTTTTGACGAGCAAAGCTGTGAAGTTGAGCGTATAAGCCAACGACAACTGATCTCAATGTTACTTCTCTCCAAATGATGAAGGAACTACCAACATAAACATAGTTTAAAGGTGTTCAACCTGTTGAATCTGAAACCTTCTATGCACATTTTTATCTATGAACTTTAAAAATACTATTTTTGGGAATTTTGGTCATTTTTTCACCAGGGTCCCCCTTTAAATCAAATTGTATTATAAAATTAAGCTTCCTTGAATTTTTTGATTGAGAATAAATATTCGTCATCAAGAAATAAGCGTATTTTGGCAACTGTTTCCGGCTTATGTTCTTCTTCTTGTTCTTCACTCCAGGCCCTGCTAGAAGTGTCTATTCTGTTATATCATCTGGTCCGGACCGTTCCGCCTCCCGGCAACATCCCGTGGCAGCCTGCTTCGGCTTTTCCCGAAGCTGACCCTATGTCGCCCGGGTTAGAGCCCGGGTGGCCGACCGACTCGGGCTACTCGAGGAGCCAACTTCCGGACCGTAGCGAGCCGAGCCACGGCGCGCCTTTTGAACGATGTACCGCGGTGATCCGCCCGTAGTGTTAGCGTAGTTGTGAAGGTGTGTGGGGATGGAAGCGGAGGTGAAAGTTGGAATAAGTATTTCAAGTTCATTATATTTTTCTACTAGGCAGTCAATAAAAAAGCATCGGACTAAAATTATAGCGAACGAAAGATTACCAAAAAATCTCAATGTGGTGGAAGTCAGGCTCTATATTGTTTCCGGACATGATTGGTAGTTGGCTAAGTAAGCTCTCATCCGCGAGCCTGGACCAAAATTTATTTTTAACAATTTTCATGAGTGAAAAGAGCTGCTCACAAGCATAGATGAGCTGAAAAGCGCAAGCATTTTCATGGCGTGCTTCGTCAGAGCAGGAAATTTCATTTTGCTGAGGGAAGAATAGAATTCTTACAAGATGAAATCCGGAGGGGTGGGTTAGCTGTTCCACTTTCCTCATCTCAAAAGTGTCGGGCTTCTGTCATTCGAAACCCGGGAGGTTTATGGAAATATCCAGGGTGGCCTTGCGGGGTAGTTCGGGAAAGGTTTTTAAGATTTCCGAAAGCTGCACAGTAAAAACTCTACGAAGAATCGCTTCGCAACACGAAGAAAATGAAGGCATTGTAAAATCTACGAAGAAATGCTTCGTATTATGAAGCAAAGTGCTTCGTAATACGAAGCATTTCTTCGTAATACGAAGCAATTCTACAATGCCTTCATTAAGAGTGTGGCCTTTTAAGAGTGTGGAAAATGCGCCATCGCCATCTTTTCGGACCCATTCTCTATCAACATTGGCGATGTGCCACCTGAACTTAAGGTTGACTTGATTGATCTGCAGCTTGACAGGGCCTTGAAAGAAAGGTTTCTTTCTGTACCGTAAGCTACCTTGTACGGTTAAATTGTACTCCCATCGTACCTGGTACGATACTTGTATAACATTATTAGGCAAGTAGTCTACCATTAAAGTACCGTAACTTTTGTGGTTTTTTTTTTTCAACAGTGCTGACGGGTACTTTGAACAAAGTAATTTACTTTGGTATACGAAGAGATACTTCGTAAATTACGGAGTATTTTCTTTGATAGTTATTGTACGCTCAGAATACTTTGTTATTACGAGCTGCTTCAGAAGGCCTAAAAGAGTCTGTAAGGTTTTCTCAGTGCATTGAGTTTTGGAGGGCGTTTTTCCTGAGACTACTGTCGGCAGTCACGGGGGGCACCCTCCTTGAGGTTGACCGGTGTGGTTACCGGGAGGTATTCTCTTGGGGTCAGTTTGGGTTATTACGGGACACGGGGTAAAAATGGGACAGCTGATTCTTAGTCAAGATTTGACATTTTTGAACGCATGACATACCAGTGGCGTCGGAAGTACCTCGCGCTGGGGGGGGGGGCTCGAATATGAAAAAAAAAAATCCTGTAGCCCCCCCCCCCCATTTTACGTGATACTTACAACAGGCCAAATTTTGTTTAAAGAGCACAATTGTGCAAAACTTATTTTGTAGCTCTTTAAATGTGTGCCTATTTTAATTCAAAAGTACTCCTGCGCATGAGGTATGCACTATGAATATTTGTCTAAGAAATTTAATGTCAAATTCGCAGTTGTTTTCTCTTTAAGTCTTCAATGTTTTTGACATGGTAAATATTCGTAGACTGTGAATGACATGTTATTGCATAGAAATAAAGTCACTTTGAAAAGCTAATCAAAGTGCGAGCGAAGCGAGCTTCAAGCCAACGCCTTTTTTTTTTTACTTTTAACTGCAAGTAGCATGCTTTAAAATGTCCATATGTTCGTGGCGTGGTTGCTGCGACACGTCAAGTCGCCTGCAGGTGCGTCCAATAGCGTTACGCGCAAAAATTAAATATAGCCCTCGCTCCGCTCGGGTCAAAAAATGGGGGGGGGGGGCCTCAGTCCCCCCTGGCTGGCGATGGGGGGGGCTCTGAGCCCCCTCGTCACCCCACTTCCGACGCCACTGTGACATACCACATGTGATGTTTTTATTGAGAAAATAACATTTGTTACGGCGAAAGTTCTAAAATCTCGATTCTTGACTAAAAATTAGCTGTCCGATTTTTACCCCTTGACCCACAATTACCCAAACTGACCCTAAATGATCCTTCCGCGGTAACGGGTGGCCTCTTCCTGAGGCTATCGGCGGTCCCCGGGGGCGTTCTTCCTGGACCGGCAGCTCCGGCGACCCGCGATAGAGCCGTCCTCGCGAGTGCGGGGCACCTTGACCTCCAGCAGGCGGGTGTTGCACGTGCCGTTCTGGAAGACGTCGAGCTCCTTGACGTAGTACTCGGGCTTGATGGTCATCCAGGACGTGTGCCCGCCCAGGACCCCGCAGGAGTAGGTCGTCGAGTTGGAGGTGCTCCTGGACCAGCCGCGGGTGTACTCGCTGGAGATGGACGCCTCCACCGTGGCCGTGGCCACCGCCATGAAGTTGACCCCGAGCTCGAGAGACCCTGAGACACTGCCGCCCGCAGACCAGCTCTGTTCGGTGGTGTATGTCTTGACCGTCTCGACCCCAAACTGCAACAGAGTCAGAGTCGTCCCTTCAGTTCGCGAACGGATGTCCTAGCAGGAAAACAAAGTGAGAGAAAACGAGCTTCTGCCGGAGAGTAGAAACGTGTAAACATGACGAGTTGCAGAAAGCTTCACTGAAAATCGAAATAGGTGGGATCTCTCACCTCTTGAGGGGTGACCTGCGTATCGAAAGGCACGTAAGTATTTCCACCTGAACGTTTGACTTGAAGCGCAAAACCTTGAAACGGAGTGTGAATGAAGCTAACCAGTGGCTACAGCCACTACTTACCTCACACGTATAATGTCCCTCGTCGCACAACACTTCCTCACTGATCCTCTCCTCAGGGCCAACCACAGTGAGCACCCCTTTTCGCACCGCGAAGTCACCGCGGTCCTGGGGATTCCCTCCAGTGGCGTGGCGGCAAGTCTCGTAGGTGTCCTTGCCGAGGGAGCAGCTGTGGCAGGGATTTGCATCACCTGTGGCACAATCCAGTCACACAGAATAAGTCATGCTAAGCAGTTGCTCTACAAATTGAAGAGCGTACATTGTATACTCTAACCGGAGCATGCCTGCAAGCATGCTCTAGCTAGCGCATGCCTGCCAAGCATGCACTTACTAGTGCATACATGCCATGTACACGCTAACTGATGCAGGCAACTCCCTATCCCTTATGCACTAGACGCATGCTTCAGTTAGCGTGTACATGACATGTATGCACTGGTAAGTGCATGCTTGGCAGGCATGCGCTAGCTACCCTGACGAGCCGAGGGACAAGGAGGGACAAGACAAATGTAGACAAGTACAGTACACCGTCCTAATCTTGTCCTAGAGACATTGTCTTTTTGTTTCAATTTAGGACAAAGAGACAGAAAGATGTCTCCGAATGTCTTTGAGTGTCTAACAAGATGTCTCTGGTTGTCTGTGATGTGTCTTTTTTGGTTTAGAAGGGGAGGAAAGCGCGTACACTCATCCGCGTCCTGTGGATTATCCACACGACGCGATGAGTGTACGTAGTCCATACATGCACTATTAGCAGTAACAAAATGTAGAGGCAAAATTCAAAAATTAAGGTGTTTCTCTAATTAAGACTCAGGAAACAAAACAATTATTAAAATTCAGACACATTAACATCCGGTACAATCATAAAAGCAAAACAGGAAGTCTTTCCAGTCATGATCAGTCTGATTTGGTGACTACCAAAACAATTAGCACATTTTCATTGGAAAAGGAAAAAAAAATATAGTGGCAAACTTATTGGTACAATTATCAGTTCCCATCGGTATCAGACTAGTCATCACCGTCTAACACAATTCAGCACATTGAAACGTCAAAATTATTGTCATTATCTTCATCATCTTGATCATCTTTAAGACTCAAGAAACAAAACAATTATTAAAATTCAGACACATTAACATCCGGTACAATCATAAAAGCAAAACAGGAAGTCTTTCCAGTCATATCAGTCTGATTTGGTGACTACCAAAACAATTATCACATTTTGATTGGAAAAGGGAAAAAAATTATAGTGGCAAACTTATTGAACTCAGGTACAATTATAGTTCCCATCTCAGGTATCAGACTATTAGTCATCACCGCCTGACACAATTGAGCACATCGAAACGTCCAAATTATTGTCATTATCTTCATCATCTTGAGGCTCCTCTTTCACCCCCCTTTCTGCAACTTCCTCCTCATTTACAACCTCCTTTTCTTCCCCTTCCTCATCCTCATCCTCACTGCTGCTTGAGTCCAACGGATTGATCCTCACTCTTTTAGCTGGCTTGGAGACGTCTCTTCCCTTCTGCCTCTTGGAAGACAGCTTTGGTCCTTTCTTCCCACTTTTCACATCAGTTTCAGTTTCTTTTTTAGAGGGCCCTAATTTAGCCAGTAGCTTTGAAACAATACGCCTGGTATACTCCGGTGTGTGTGGTTCAGCCATTTGTTTCCCCACCTTGATGGGTTTTAAAGCTGTCTTTTTCCACGTCAAGGAATCCAGATATGCTGGAAGATGAAAGCACACATTAAATTGGTTGACTAAAGGATATATCAATCTTGTCTTTAAAAAAGCAGAGAAACTTACAGTGGATGGCTTCCAAATGGATATCCATGATTCTGTTGCTCTTCCCATCCACTTCTTTGAAACTGAACGCTGAAGGTTCGATTAATATATCATTCAAGATAGCAGTGAGGCGCCCTTCCACAGTTCTCAGGGTATCGACTTCTGCCATTCTCTTTCTTGAAATGAGCTTCCCAGCCCCTGCATAAACCTGAGGCCAAACAGAGAGCATGTTAAACTAGGGGTACGCGCCGTTTTGTCTGGGCGCGTAGTGTGGCTGAGCGATGCGAATTGACATAGTATGTGCACTTGAGTAGACGAAATGTCCATCTTAAGGGCTCATATTCAGTTAACTTTAGACCAGGGGTTCAAATGGAAGTGATTTTCGATATCAGAACACCAAAAACTGCTGGGATCAGTGTCAAACTCCATTTAAAAATTTTGGTCCAAAATTGGTCAAAATTCGGTTAAATGTGAGTCTGGGAAAAGTTTGAAGGTCATTTTTGAGTTCAGCACACCAAAAACTGCAGGAAACAATATAAAACTCGACATGAAAATTTTGGTCCAAACTGACCTAATTTAGGATGAAAATACATAGTAATTGATTGTGTTCGAAAACCAGCAATAAGAATGGTTTTTGACAACATGTCTTATGTCACACCTATGGCTAATGTGGGGGAGATTGGTTAAATTGTTCAGACTGTTTCTAGTAATTGATTCTGTTCGAAAACCAGCAATAAAAATGGTTTTTGAGAACACGTCTTATGTCACACCTATGGCTAATGTGGGGGAGATTGATTAAATTGTTCATATCACTTCTAGGACCATATTCGGACATCATTTGTCTTAAGGACAGGCAAAGACACGGCCAGGACACTAAGACACGATAAAGACAACTTCAGGACAATTGGGGGCTTGTCTTTTGATGTCCCTCGGCTCGTCAGGGTAGAGGGCTTACAGGGATGCTCCAGTTAGAGCATACAATGTACGCTCTTCAATGTGTAGAGTAAACAGCGTCGACACAAAGAGTTTTGATACAAAGACACATTCTACACTGAGATTACAAACGCATTGCACGTATGGTGCGATATCTCAGTGCAATCGCGAAGAAAGTACACTCATGGGGTTTTGTACTTGAAAATCACACTCTCCTGGGGTATGCTAACCCTACTGCACCTCAGGGCGTGGGTTCGACTCTGCCCCCTTGATTGGACTTGAGTTTAATTTGATTTTTTATTTCTGGTCACAAGGAATTCCTTTAAACTGTAAAGTAAAGAGTGTGGCTGAAATATTTTTTGTGGGGGGGCAATAATGTCCAGGTGGCCAGCTAACGGACACATGATAACTAAGATGTGCATGACACTTGTTGTCATCTCATCCAAACATTGTCAAGGGGAAGAAAAACTTAGAAGAAAATAAAATGCTACTTTCGTTCCAAATTATCGCAGAGGTGAAATGTTTTTGATAAACCAATATTGTTAACCGCCAAAAAAAAAAAAAAAAAAACCGCTCCCTGCATCCTTCCGCCCCGCTGGGCAACTGTCACTGCTCGTCTGACTTCGAACGCACGAAGATTTCACGTACAAACTTTCACGAAAAAGAAATCGAAAATTTGCCTTGCACTGAGAATCCAAAAGCCATGAAAATAGCGTCAAAGAGTCAATGCTTTTGCATTAAGTGCAATGCCTTCTTCCATTCCCATGCATAAGCAAAGGGGCCCTTTTTGGGACGCATTGCACGTAGGTGCAATATGCTATGGCATTGCACGTGGTGCTATATCTCAGTGCATTGCACCATA